TCTGAGCCATTTTCAAAGCTAAAATTTGATTCTGCCACTAGAAGATGTCTGTAATACACAAATGCCCCACTCCCCTCTTTTGCTGGAAATAGAGCTTAAAGCAAATCTAACCAAAGAAATGAAGCTTAAAGCAAAGTCTTATAAAAGTCAGTCAAGCAAAAATATATTTCGAACTGACCTACATTTCATGAACTCCAAAGAATCGGTCAATGATAAAATATTTGTGCAAATTACTGTAGTAAATAAAATGAATGTTTTTAATCAAATCTATAAACGATTTTTCAATGTTCCAAAACAATTTACTAACTGTATACATCATTGTATTCTGTCAATTTTGTACATCGGTACCTATCTCTGATAAAATATCATTTCTTGGTTTTCATTATCTATCTTATACTTACCTGATTGGGGTGGAGACAGACACAGTTGATTGGGGCATTCACTTGGAACAGTCTTTGGCATTGTTGATTTCTGGATCTGAACAGAATACAAAATCAGAGATATCTGTAGTAATAGTATTGTCACGTATAAATGTTTTCCTAAGATATTGGTTTAATTAATGCTGACTGGTATTAAACTTTACCCGACTGCAAGGAACTGAAATGTTTTACCTTAAGTACCATTTGATGTGAAGGATTTTTGTAGTGACAGGTATCAATGATTTTCTCAGGTAGTGACAGGTATCAATGATTTTCTTTTTACCTGGTACTAGTGGTTGTAAAATGTATACCTGAGATATTAACATAGATAAATATTCAACTGATATTGTATACCGGCCAACTTTTGCCCAGTCAAACTTCCACCCTAACTGGTAAATTCCAAAGTTGCCCTGAATGATTTTTTTGCCTTTCATAAGTAATGACAATGGATAATATGGTGTGTATTTACATTTACTGTCAAGGTAAGTAGACTTGCCCTCATTATGGAGTGTGTAAAGGAAAGAGTTAAACTGTAGTAAAATGTCCTGATATACACTATATTGGAAGGGTTTGCACATTATATGTTTGATACCTGGTGTAATGACAGGTGCCAATATTCACCTGATGTTATAAAAGGTAATTTCCAGGTGTAAATGTTTACACTGTTTGCAGTTACACCATTTCTAATCATATCAGTATTAGCGCTGGTTGTGTCATAAATGGAGTCCTTTTCAAATTAAACAGGGTCTTTGTAAAGTCGAAATGGATTTAGTGGGATCCCTTCCCAAGTTCTATGCTTTAAAAAGTTATAAATATGGGGGTTAATAAAAAATACTATCTATAGCTTTTTTGAAGCAGAAATGAAAAAATGCAGAAGACCCCAAAAATATGAAAATTTTGTCTTCTTTTCATATTGAAAGCAATTAAATCACCAGTTTAAAAGGATACATCTAACGCTGGTCCATAAGAGACACTGACAGGTATTGATGTTTACCGGGTATATTGAATGGAATAATATTACCTTTACAGGTATGATCAATGTTTTACCTGAGGTCCCAGATTCGGACGTTATTATCCTCTCCGCCAGTGTACATCCACTTGCCCTCCTCCTGAAATCCCACACCTGTGATGTTTTTGGAAATACCCTCGTAGTTGATGACAGGATTTGGATTGTTAGAGTTAAGATCATACATACGTATGTGCTGATATCCTGTAATGCAAAAAAATATTATTTCACTAAAATATAACTTACAGTACTTACTTTGTATGCATGACATGCATTATATATTTATCTCATATATACAGGACACTTACTGTGATGATAACAAAATGAAATGGAACTACACATGTTAAAAAATATGTTTTTACCAGTATTTTCATTTTAAAATTATATATATACAAGTTAAATATAAGTAACACATTTTAATAGCTTTACAACAAAATGTTATTTACCTGCAGCAGCTATTAGCTGTTTATCTGGTGTTATTGCCAATGCATTGACCTGCTGGAAACTGTTAAAGCTTATAATTTTACATAGAAAATTTATCAAGCACATGAATAATTGTCTTATTTGTTCTAGCAATATTCATAAGGTCAGTTAAGTCTATTTAAACTTTGTTTCAGTTAATAACAAATATATGATTAATTGTGTTGTAATCTTATCGTAGTCAGAACACAATCTTATTTGTAAAAAGAAGATGAATGTTTCCCTAATATCATCATTCAGTTACGTTGCATGTATTATGCATACAGGGTTTTCAGTTAACACTTGTCATTTAGCAATTGCATGAGTCAAATAACACACTCCCTGAAAATTGAAAGGTCAAAACATACACAAGTTCACATATCTGTCATTTTGGGGTCAATTTATAACCACATTTTAAGTATCTAATGATTGAAGCTTATTATGTACTATGAAATGCATATTATTCTTCACGATAACACCTTTTAAAACAGAAAAGTGACTTTGTAAATTTCGTTAAAACACAGCTAGACTATACTGACTGAAAAATTAACTATGACTGGTCAACTTGATATGAAGTAATTTCATCAACACTAAAACTAAAAGGATACAGAGTCTGGATGCTGTACAGTTCGGTAGCAGATCCCACTGTGGGCCTGCCAGAACCTAATCGTGTGATCATATCCAGCAGTGGCCAAGATCACAGGATCAGTGTTACCGTTAGACCCACTCATA